AGAATTAGAATCTTTTTTTTTTGTTGATCTTTTTTTTCGGATTTCTTTAAAAACTACTCACAAACAAAAATAAAGCAAAGACACTTAAACGGAGGTAAGCAGGAACCATACGGAGGTGGGAATATTATAAGAAGGGCAGACACTAAACGTTACTCAAGTCACTGTGATTAATGAAATGATTATCAGAAGAACGATAACTCATTATCAATTATAGGCTAAATAAATGTTTCGGTTAATTTGGATATGATGTAAGTATATTTAAATTTTTTGTACAGTGAAAAAAAAAATTTGTACTTACAAGTTTTTTTTGTAGCACTTATTATCAAAGATGTAGTACTTTTTATAGCATTATACTTTTTATTTGCTTAGAGTTCCAATCCAGATAAATATATTATCTGTTTATCTATATCTGATTATTCAGATAATTCGAATTATCAGATAATTTGACAGTTATTCGGATAATTATCCAGATATCTGATAACTATCTAAATAAATGCTTAATAGATTGGAACTCTAATCTCGCTAATAGATTGGTTAGGGTTAGAGTTTATTATACTTGGTTTTGAAATTAGACTTGTCAATAAAAATATTTCAAAATCATCTTATAATAAAATTATCGTCTATCATGCCCTGTGTATTTTTACTAATTATTTTTTCATGTAAAAAATTATATACAACTTACATTCTTAATTTATTTTGAATTATCAATTTATTTAAATGTATTTGAAATAAGCTATTTCTTTATATTTATATTAAATTATGGTAAGATTATAAATTATTTGTCTTTTCTCATTAAGTCACTTATTTAGGTTAATTTAACCAGAAATTATAAAGTAATTTGTTAATCAAAGTACTATATTTGAAAAACAATGTGTTCATATTAATTTGGTCGATAAATAGTATTTTATTCAAGTCAATTCAGTCAATATTATTTATTAATTTTCATTCGTATGAATTTTATGATTATTACAACTTAATTTTCTGAAAATTTATTAGCTATTATACAATCTCTCTAGAATTATTATAAAACTTATCTATGGTGTTTTACACCTATTATATTTTTTATTATTTTTTATAAAATTTTTTTTTTATATACAGGAGTTAGAGTTAGAGTTTGGGAAGGGTTTTTAGAGACATAGAACATTTTTACTTAGAATACCCCATACCAACTAATTAGCTAGTTTTTGTAATAATGTATACATAAGTATAAAACACTATAGGTGAAGTTATATATCTACTATACAGCGCAGACCATGGTACCCAGTGTGACACAAAATTTTACTCAGTAAAAATTTAAACATTACGTGATTATGCATCACATGAATGTATAAATAGTATTTTAAAAAATCGATCTATACTATTTGTCATACTGGGTACCATGGTCCACACTGTATGGTATTTAGAATATAATAAATTAGAAAACTTTTCTTTAAAAAATATTAATTATATTAAAATCTAAATTTGTATAATGATCTACATAATGTATATTGTTTACTTGTTTATATTTTTTTGACCAATTAAAACAAATGTCCACCATGCTACTGTTAAGATAAACAAGAGATATTCGTTTCTTTAATCATCATTAATAGAATGAATATAAACATAGAGATATAGATAGAATTTACATGTGTACTTGAAAAAGTCAAATCAGAGACTGCTGGTTTATCATTAAGCGAAATACTATTAGATGATGATGTGATTTCTAATTTACAAGCCTTTTAAGGTAATAAAAGAGGAATTTAGTCAGCTATCATTAATGACTATAAATATAAATACAAAGAAAATCCAAATTAATTATATGGGTGTTTGATAAAGTGAAACCTGTGCAACTATTAACAAAGTCAGAAGTGAAAAGGTCAGAATCAAAAATATGAGTGAGTTCAATAAAAAGATCAGGTTCAAAAAACAGATCAGGTTTATTCATATTAATGAGTATAAATACTTTTTTAATAAGCTTGAGAAAGCGAAAGAGAATGTTATTATGATGTTATGTTTATATAAATTGTAATATGTCATAATGTCTGTCATTATTTGTTATATGTTAAATATATTGTATGCATTAACGATCTGTGTATGTACACGGGTAAATTAATAAATTTTCTAATTGATGATCTGTGTATGTACACTATGAGTAAATTAATAAATTTTCTAAATATTAATCTATATAATATAAAAAATTAATTAAAACAGTAAAAAGTTTTATTAGTAGCATATTTTATTTTTTATAAAAATTACATTGTACTACAAAAATTATATGATAAATGGTTTACGTATCCTCTATCTTAATTAATTAAATTGATTAATCAATTAATTAATTAAATCGATTATTTAATTAATCAATTAAATTGATTATTTGATTATATCAGTAAACTATTAAAATTACTATAATACTATTAAAATGCTGTTAAAGTAAAGTATTATTGAAGTACTGATACAAATAGTTAATTCTTTAATTCTAAATCATTAGTCACTTAATTATTATTTGTTGTTTTATTATAACAATAATAGGTTATTTTACAAGAATAAAATAATAATATTATTATTATTAACACTAACTAATTAATTATTCAATCAATTAATTATTTGATTAATTTGATTAATTGATTGATCTCATATTGTAAAAGCCAATCAATTAGTATTAATTAATTAATTTTCAATTTAAAACACTATATATAGTAATCTTTATCAATATAGTAACAAAGATAGTATATAAATAAAGCTAAATATTTTAAATAAAAAAATATCAACAAGTGAACCTGAATTTCTTACAAAAATTAATTAATTTAAATTTGAATTGATAAATAAGAAACCCTTTAATAAGAAAACTTCTACAAGCAATGAAATTGCATTTTCATCTTAAAATAATACAAAAAAATTAAAAAAAGCTTTATATACAACTAACTAAGTACTTATAAGAGATTTTCTTTTGAAAACCAACAATAGAAATAATATATACCAATTATGTAAACAACTATTTGGCAGTCAGACCACAATATTAACTATTAATTAGCATTTTAAAACTTTTTATTTTTCAGAATTTTTTTTAATTTGCCAATATAAATATTAAAAAATTAGCTTTTATAGTTCTAATAATAATATAAAGTTAACAATTTAAATAAAAAATTTTTAAAATAGTTGGTTATTAACCAACTATTATTTTTATTAACCAAAGTATAGTTAATAATTTTTTATAAGAACTTAATTCTTATTACAAACTTTTATATTGCCAAAAACTTTCAATTTGAGTTAGTTAAAAATATATTAAAAATAAAAATAAACCAAATATCATTTAATCAAAAATTTTAGTAATATTAAATAGTTAAACATCATATAACCTATAGCTATACATTGGTATAACCACATACTAGATGAATCCCAAGTGAAAACTATGTTAAATCTTGCTTGATATTATTCTATTTAATAAAGCCCACATTGCAACCAACTAAGCTGATACAATGATTGAATTATTTAAAAAAATAAATATTGGTCAAAAACTTTTAGAAGTTAAAACTAACAATACTGCCAACATGGTTATAATAAAACATGTTCTAAAAATAAAAATAAATTATTATAAGTTTAATAATAATAATGTATAGCATTTTTGTTATATAACACATGTTCTTAATATAATTGTTGAAGAAGGAATAAAATTAGTTAGTAAAGAAATTTCTAAAGCACAGAAATTCTTTACTAAGCTTTGAAATCCTTTATTGTTAATTTGTAAATTAAAAAAATTTTTGAAATAAAAAATGTTTATTTTTGATGTTTAAAGCTAATATCAAAACCTATTGGAACAGTATATATCTTTTGCTAAAGAAACTCCAACAAATTTGCTCTATAACTAATATTTTTGTAGCAAGCAACCAAACTAAACTATTTAACAAACAAGAATAGGATATTATTTTTGTTAGTATTTCTATTACTTAATAAATAAATTTGGTTTAATTATATAAGAATTACAAAACTTGTTAATTCTTCTTAAGCCTATATTATATTAAACTTATCTAAATAAGTTTTCAACAATTTTAGGCCTTTTTAATCTGTATAATAAACTTTCAATTTATAAAATTAGTAAATATAAACAAGCTATTAAATAACTTCATAAAATGTATAAAAATTATAAGCTAGCTGAAGAAAATAAACTATCACTACTATTACCACTTTCTACTACTACTATTAAATTAATACATAAACTTTTTTATAATCTTTCGAATTGCTATTAAGTTAACTTTAGTTAATATAAAATTACAAGGTATCTAAGCAATTTTAAAACTGAAGTAGCTCTACTTCTGTAGTAGAAAGCAAATTTATAAAAATACTCAATCCTCTTTCAACTTGCAATAGATATTCTTTTTGTGTAATCAACTAGTATATCTAGTAAGCAGGCCTTTTTTGTTACAAAGTATATAATTAGCTCTACCCAAAATTACTTAAGTTCTAAAGTTGTATAAGTATCTTTGTATTTAAAAAGCTAATATAGAGAACTAAGTAATGTGTTAAATAAAGAGATATATGATATTTAGTTAGTGCTTAAATAAATAAATATTTTTTTTTTTTTAGTTTTTATATAATTTTTTCTCATATAAATTTGGTTTATATAAAATGTTTTTTTTATATAATTTTATTTTTTTATATAAAAATTTTTTTATATAAATTTTTGTAAAAATAACAAATATTAAAATATTAAATAAAAATTTTCTTGTTAAAGTTTTTTTATAAAAAGTATCAATCTAATTAGATGGACTTGTTTGAAGAATTATAGCTTAAAATCTGGTTTTAGAATCGATTAACTAATAGTTTTTTGTATCAAGTCTGGGACTATCATTTTAGGGATACAGAAAAATTGTTTTTATTATTTACAAATACTAATTTAAAAAATTTTAAATATTTAGATAAAATTTGATAGTTTTTTTTATCAATATAAATTTATAATTTAGATTAAAATTAGCATAAAATCCAAATTTTAGCTAGCTAAATTTGTATATTTGTTATTATGTTTTGGAATATTTATAATATTTATTCAAGATTTATAGTTTAATCTTGCTTGTACTTTAGGTTTACTAATTGTCTACCTTGTTTACCTTGGAAATGTTTAAGATAATATTGTCAAATTTTGGTAGCTAATACTGGCCAAACTTATAATTCTGGCCGGTATTAATACTTTATATTTGTAATTTAATTTTACATATAATTATTTTTTGTAATCCAAGTTATATTTTGTGAATTATATTAGCCAATAAAAATCAAGAATTCTATAAAATTGCTCAGAAATTTGAATTTACATCAATAATTCTCAAATATTTGAATATTTGTGGTTATTCACATTAAAAAGGCCCATTTTGCAAATTTTTCAAAAAATAAATTTTTATTATATTCATGTAAATTTTGACATAACTAACATTTTTCATTTATAAATAAAAGGTGATTTGCATAATAAAAAATAGAGATAATATAAAGAAAAATTACACGAAGCTGTCTAAGGCCAAGCATATCACGAGATTACCCAATAGTTACCTGTTACTCTTAACCAATCAAAATCGTGAAATTTGCTTAATTCCAAAAATCAAAACAAATGATTAAACTCAATTATCTCGAAATTGTTTAATTGTAAAATATGAATAACCCCATTTTTACTATTTTCTACAGGGGGATCCCCAAATTTCCGGGTTGAAATGGCTGAAATGTGTCGTGGTTAGGATCGGGGTTAGGGTTGGGTTAGGGTTAGTAAGAGCTATAAGTTATAGTAAAATTATCAGCTGGGCACTTTTCACTTAATGAGCGACTATTGTTTCATTAATAAAATTCTTAGCGATCTTGGGCAAAATTGATCAACTCCGGCCCTTCCGACCCGGAATTTTGGGGATCTCCCTGTAGGAGTTATATATACTTGGATTTACTTGGGAAAATTTGGATCCAAATTTTTCCGTGTCCCTGCGTCGTTTCAGGTCCTAGGACCGGACCGGACTGGATTCGCAATTTAAGATCCCTAGAATTAGTACGTATAAATTAGAACAGAAATAAGCATAATTTGTAATTTTTTATCGTAATCGCAAATGCACATTGAAAGTCACAATGAATAACGCAAAATACGATCACATCAGAAAGTAGCAAACATGCTCAATTATGTGTAATATTTTATAAATAGTCGCATTTTTCACATGTTTTTCGCATATTTTTGTCGGTTCTACCCTGAAATCCCGAAAGCCATTTTCCTGAAAGGACATAATAATACTGACTAAATTGGCCAGCATTACAACTAATGCTGGCTAACTTTGTCAGTATTATGTCTTGCCTGATTCACATAATCTGCAGCATATTTATCACATATCATAAGAAAAATAATTTTCGGTAGTGATATTTTAAATTTCATTTTAAAAACATTTAGAAACTAGTATACCGGTAACTAGTTATAACAAGAAAAGTTAACCAATTGTGGTGACCCACGAAAATTTGGACACTTCAAATAACAATAAAAATTTTTACGGTTTTTAACAACTAAGGATGTTAAATTTTCGGTATTTTGGTCTGATCCTTAAAAAATTTGGAACGAACCCCAGTCCGAAACTTTTCTAGCCACAGCGGTTAAAAATATAGCACAGTAATCTTATTGTAAGCATTTATCAGTTTATTGATTTTCACCAATCAGAATACCTAATAATTAATCATCCAATTAACGATTTTTAAAGCAGAAATGTCCTACGTACTTAAATCTGTAAATTACGGCTGATTCAGATGTGTCATAATGACATTCGATTTATATCATGTGGTTATACGGCTGGTTTCGGACCGGTTCTAAACTTCCTAAAAGAAGTCCACTATCAGAACTTAGTACCAAATTCAAACAAGACGGGTCAGATAGCATGAACATCCGTCTGGATTAGTTGGACACACAAGTTTTCATGACGAAATTTATGGCGCTCAAGAATAGAAATTGAATAGCTTATTGATCCTGTATTTCACGGCCAACCACCATTCACCAATGTAACGATAATATTAAACGTCCAAAGTATAAAACTTAAAATTCTACAAGGGGGTAGTTTAGCTCGCGAAATACGGTAATATCTTTGACCATAATATATTCACAAAGAATGTTATTCGCACTCCTTATTTTGCGTTGCCGAGATGCAATATATAGATGCTTGAATAAGATAGGAACTGCTATAAAGATTACAAGACTTGTATATATAAAGGAGAGGCTTCCATGTAGGCGTCATTTGTAATAATAGATATATAGTACTGTACGTCGTACGTACGTACGTAAACTAGATCAATAATAATCATGCATATAATTTATTAATAAAGGCGGTCATATCTAATAATAGAAAATAGATACATAAAAGGATTAAACAGTCATTATCGTCATGGAGGCTTAATTGCGGTGATTACCATTAGCGTTAGTGAAAAAAGAAAAAAGATAATTACCGGATATTGCGCAAATTGGAATAGTTAGCGTGTAACATATTGATGTTCTATGTGCATAAAACGAAACGTATAAATGAAAAAGCCTTCTATTATTTGGCAATTATTGATTGATTTGGATAATAGAAAATAACAAAATTCTGTTTTCATCGAAAATCCAAAACAGTCATTAGGTAACCGATATCCCCTAACAAAAAAATGAAGTCTTCATATAAGAGAATATTTGATATATACGATGTATCTTTTATAATATGTTTTTTTCTTCTGTTTAGTAAAAGTTACGCAGATAATAAAACTAGTATTAATGGAACTATAAACCCTACAGCTGCTATACCATATCCAAACACATTCAGTGAAACTTATAATGTTAATAAATTAGATTTTTTAGTAATTGGTGATTGGGGATATCAAGGAAATGGATCTGGGCAACGATCAGTTGCAGATGCTATGAAGAATTGGGCAAAGCAGAATAATACTCAATTTGTTATTAACGTTGGTGGTAAGTTATATATATATATATTTATTTACTATTATATAAAAGATGAAAATTAAATATTTAACTGTTAATGAATACAACCGTCTTTATTACATAAAGATAATTTTTATCAAATTGATGACAATGACTATGATGGAGTTCTAAGTGTAGCTGATCCAAAGTTTAAAACTTATTGGTTGGATGTATACACTGAAAGATTAGCAGAGATTCCTTGGTTCACCATTGCTGGAAATCACGATTGGTAATAACTTTAAAAACCGATATATTATAATAAATAATAAATATGTATATATTAAATACGTATAAATATATGAATACAGGTATACAAACGTCTCAGCGCAAGTAGATTATTATTGGTTAACTGATAAGAGATTCTTCATTCCATCACTTTATTATGCTCGTATATCAACTTTTGGAAAATGTAATACAAAAGTTGCATGGATACATATCGACACCGATCCATTCGCATATAATTATAGTAGTTTAACGGACAAGAACGATCTTAAAGTTAATCTTGCAACCATGAATGTTTGGACTAGCGATCAACTTGAAGACAAATTAAATTGGATTGAAGGACAATTAAAGGCTGTCAAAGATATTAAATGGATTTTTGTTGTTGGTATGTAATTAATTGGAATTTTTTTTTTTTAGCATATTTTAAAATAATTGAGCAATAATTTTCTCAATTCAAATGCTTAAAAAGGTCATCACGGACTAGTAGGCGAATGCTCATACCCTTATTATTTACCTCGCCTCCGATCACTCCTTAATAAATACCGTGTAACGGCCTATTTCGCGGGTCACGATCATGTATTAGAAATGGAGTCCGCAAATAAAACATCTCATGTTACGTATTTCACTTCGGGTGCCGGAAGTAGATTTGATTTGAAAGGTTGTAAAGGTTCCACTTGGGGTTATCCAGGTGGTACTATGGGATTTTTACACGTTAGTATTGAAGAAGATAGCGATCAAATGTACTATGAGTATGTTAACGCGACTACTGCTGGTCAAGCTCCTCAAGTTGTTAAGCAAGGGTATATCAACGTGAGAAAAGATGTTAATTCTTAGATCGAGTTTAAGGAAAAAGTTGTTTAATAGTGTAGAATTAATTGTCAAAAATGTTTAATCTAATTTAGGTCTAGCATCCAAAATTGAACTTTAATATTTGATACTAGAATCTTAGTTTAAAATATAGCGATTGACTTTTTAAAAAAATCTTTGCTTAAAAGATAGAACAGGACTTTATATATAAGCTTCATCTTTAGATTGAATATTTAGAGGTTTCAGAATCAAACGTGGGAATCTAATTTTGATAGAATAGACGGAAGATTTATTTTCAAATAAGCGTGTATCAATTTATTTCATCTTCCGATAAATTTGAATAATAATCTTTCTTATTAAAAAAGTTTAATTTGCAAAATGGGTCTCCAAACACTCATTTCATTTTCTGATTTCAAAATTATGATTTTTAATACTCATATTTATCTCTGAATGCGCTATTTTTTTTTTCAGATTCAATATTTTTCAGTTATCGTGCAAGCTCATATGATCATAGATTTTTTTCTTCTTGTTATTTTTTGTACATTATTACATAAGCACAACAATCTCGAATTAAAACTCAGTTAGCCGAAAATGACTTGAAAATCATGATCATAATTTGCACGATAACATCGATATTGGATCATGCGATGATAAATATCATAAAATTTGTTCTGTCAGACCAAATGATTGGCTGAAATGTGCCGCTGCGCGGCACATGTCAGCCAACCATTTGCTCCGACAAAACAAATTTCATGATATTAATCGTTGCATGACCAATATCTTATACATATCGGTAATATAAATCGATTTGATTGGCACAGTTGTAACAGATTATATATATAAGAAATATAATCCAGCCAATTATATCTATGGTGTTCATATGACAGCTATTTTAAATCAATTTTTTTAAATCTAATAACCTTACAACCGGATTTGAGAGGTGTACCCCGCTTTAGTACGACCTCCAGATTTACTAAATTTAGTATATCAATATGTTTACGTATCAAATTCAGAAATTTGTTTATTTGCTGATCATTATAAAGATAACGATGGATTTTTTTTAAAGTGCACCAATGCAAATAGTTGCATTGTCGAAATAACACTCATGGTAATCATTCGTCATATCGATCGATATTACCGCATGTCTATTGGAGTTTAGCTACATCATTTGAATGACCAGAATCAGGGTTGTCACTTTTACTATGTCCAGTGCCTTTAGCCACTGGACTGGACCATATTGGACTTATTAAATTACTATGTCCAGTAGTCCAGTGGCACAACACTGGAATATGTCCAGTGTAGTCCAGTTGACAACCCTAACCAGAATTGACTAAAAACAAGAATCCGAGGGTAGTTTCGAACCCAGTGATTTCTTCGTTATCATCCCATCACATGATTAAAATTAAACACTCGGCCTAAGTTAGGGTTAGTATTAGGGCTAGGTGATAGTATAGTTTAGGCCAAATTTGTTAGTACTAGTAAACAAGTGGCGTCATTCCATCATATGATGTGATGATCACTGGGTTCATTGTTCTTTAAGTGTCCCGATGTCTAAAGCGACAGAAATTCATGTTAGGGTTAGGGTCACTTTAGGCTAGGGTTAGGGTTGGGGTTGGGTTAGATGTTAAGTGGTTTACGATGAACTTGGACTTTTTAGAGACAGTTCAGAACTAGTTCGAAGCTAGTTCTATAATCTTGATCTCAAAATTGTCCGATTTGCTAATTTACAATTATCATTGTTCTATACGTTAACCTCTAGGCTTAGACCGATTTCAGACTGGGATTATGAACTAGTTCCTAACTAGTTCAGGACCAGACTTTTTAAGGACTTAACCAGGACTAGACCGGACCGGACTTTTAATATCCCTTGGTTAGAAGTATTTGTATAAGCACCGATTTTTATAGCGGATTTCACATATTTTATATATAGGCGCCAATTTTTTAGGGGTAGTTTCAAGAACAAGGAACCCAGTGATATTTTCGGGATCATCACATCACATGATTAAGTGTTCGGCCTAAGTTAGAGTAGTTATGGTTAGTGTTAGGGTTAGGTGATAGGTTAGTTTAGGCTAATTTTTTAGTGTTAGTAAATAAATGATGTCATGCATGTGATGTGATGATCACTGGGTTCCGTGTTCTTGAAGTGTCCCAAAATTTAAAATTTTGTTAATTAATTCAAATTTTGTTATGTTTTTTATATATAAACGCCAAATTTTTGAATCATATATAAATTTAAATTGGTATAACTTTTTAAAAACAGAAGATATTTTAAAAATTTTTTTGATAGTTTAATAGCTATTAAAAAAATTTTAAATTTTGCTTCGTCGGGCTGATCCGGGATCAACCTAATTTAATTGGCGGTTGTTTCACATGATTTGCCCCGGTTTTTTAGAATATCTAATTTTGTCAAATTTGTTTATTTGCTTAATTTGCTTATCTTAATCATACACCCTAAATAAAAAAATAATAAAAAAAAAAAAAATTTTGTTTATATCTTAATCATAAAAAAAAAAAAAAAAAATTTGTTTATATCTTAATCATAAAAAAAAAAAAAAAAAATTGTTTATATTTGTTTGCTTATCATTTTGAAAGATAACGATAAGGATTTTTTTTTAAGATCAAATAGTGAATAACCCTTTTACAGCAATCATTCGTCATATCGATCGGTTAAGTTTTGTCGCATTTATCAACATGTAACTGATATTACATCGGAATATGTAAAATTCTATAGTTTCCTAGCTTTCATGTTACACTTAAAATTAGCGCTATGTGAAATTGTATGTCTTATTATCATCAAAATAACTATATAAATGAACAATAAAGCCTTTTAATTCAACTAATTTTGCTAGTTGATCTCCCAGTTCAACAATATTTTTATATTCGTTAATAGCAAGCTTTAGCTATTTCATACAGGTCACATTCTTTATTGATATATGAAATCATGGGAACTTTCTCGACCAGAATCACTAATTACGAGATGCATGATTGTATTGACTTTGATAAAGTTATAGAAATTAATAGTGGTGGATCAGGGGTGATTTATAAGTTTGAGTGCAAATGCTGCAAAACCACGAAAGCCCTTAAACGTTTAAGGGATGATACACAAAATCAAAATTTCAACAGCGAAGTAAATAAAAATTTTATTTATTTTATTTAGGGTCTTAAAAAAAGCAGTTAAATTTTTTTTTCACCTGTTAAAACAAGTGATTATTATGTTTTGAATAGTTAAATCATTGTTGGCAATTAGACCAATTGGGCATAATAAATTTTTATTGGACTTTATTAGACATATGCCTTATTCCAATTAGACATATGTTCAAATTCCAATTAAAAATATTTGGACATAGTGACATGACAACACTGGTTAAATCTGACTAAATATATCTACATCATAAATATCAGCAAAGATAGTTTTATTTACAACAGGGTGAAACCTGAGTCAAGGGAATTCGAAGTTTATCCTCCCGCATTTTTTTTACCTTCCCTGATTGTATCTTACCACTAATATACGATCTTTATTTCAAATTTTTATAAGGTTGAAATTTTGCGAAGTATTCATGGTCACCCTAATATCATTACTTTTTATGGAATTACAAAAGGTATGTTACTGAACAGCTTCTTAAAACTTTACTTCTTGATGAGTTAAATGCATTAATCATACAGCATGTGTTTTTACTGTTTTTTTAATATTCGAATTCGTAAAATAACCGGAATGACGCAATTTTTACATAGTGAAATATTAAAATCACATGAATTATATAATGCCTATCTTAAAATTAGGTTATATTATTTGTTGCATCGGACAAGTAATTACGTTAATTAAGCATCGCAATAAAAAAAAGATTAGTCACACAACCAAAATTCAGCAGATAGACCAATTTTAGAGTCTGAATAGGCCGTCATTAAGCAATAATACCAGAATTTTGAAATTTTATCGATTCCGGCCTATTCCGACTCCGAATTCTGGTAATCTAAGTTAAATTAATCGTATGTTTGTACATTGAAAGATGAGCCCTTACGTAATACCTGGTTGAAATATTCAATTCTAACATATATTTACTAATTCTACCAATTCTACTAATTCATCTGTTTAATGAATTGTAATATCACAAAAAATAGATCCTTCAAAAGAACATTGTTTTATAGTTTTACAATATGCAAATAAAGATTTATGAGATTTTTGAGGGAAAATTTCAAAAGTCTACAATCAATTGATAAATTTTGTATGGCTGAGGAAACAGCACAAGAGCTTCGGTTTTTACATACTAAAAATATAGTTCATAATGACTTAGTAAGCATATATCTATTTTATTTCGTATAAATTTAATTATTTAAATTAACAATTTATTGGTTTTTTGGTAGAATTTCAAAAACATTCTCGTTTATAATAAGCAAATTAAGATCACAGATTTTGGTATGTCGAGGCAGATTAATGAAGTTTCAACACCGTCATGCTCAGAGATTAAAGGCATGCCAGCATATATAGATCCTCGATGTTTAAAAGACTCTAAATATGATAAAAAATCTGACATTTACAGTCTTGGAGTTATTCTTTGGGAGATCTCGAGCGGCCAACCACCATTCAAACTATTGACTTCGCATGAAATTTTTTGGAACATGCAGGTATTAGATGAATTTAGAGAAATCCCAGCAGAAAACACACTGCTTCAATATGTTGAGCTATACAAGAAATGTTGTAACGAAGATCCCTGTATTCGTCCAGAAATGCCTTTAATCATTAAAACTTTAAATGGACTGCAAAATTCAAATATATTCATCGATATTTAATTTATTTATGGTTTTAGAAATCGAAAAAATCAATTTGGCTAAATCTGTAATTTGTAGATCAATTCAGTAAAGTTTGTGGTATACGGAAATCTGTAATTTGTAGATTTAAAATTACTTTAATTTAACAATGCCTGCAATTCGTAAAATATGTCGATATAGTAAAAAAAACAACTTAAAGATATATGGTAATCTAAATATATGCTGTACAGTAGATATGGTAACAAAATAAAAAACACTTATATAAGTACCCATGTTTTATATATTACATTGTTCGTCATTGTCAAGATATTAAAGAATGTTAATGTTATATAATATAGAAAAGAACCTATTATAATAAATTGGCAAAAGGTCTATTAGATTTATAATATTGAATTTAAATTAAATATATTTAATTTTAAAAGTACAATAAAAATATCTATTTTATAAGGCCATACAAACTTATACTATTGGTTCATTTTTGAGTTTCAGTTCGCATTTTTCTAGTGTCAGGGCATGAATCAGAATGATTTTGGTATATTCAATGAGACAAATCAGATGATACTAAAATCATTCGATTTCAATCCTTCTCCTTTCATATAAAATTGAGAAAGAGGATTATACGTAACATACCAGTACAATACTATACAGCATATTAATTTCTAACAATCAGTTTAGCCAATCAAAATTTTTGCTGATCAACCAATGGCCTCTAAGTGTTAAGAATAACATCGATTATGACAAATTACTAAGAAACCACATGTACTACCTAGGTGCTGTCTACATCATTGTAAATAATAAATCTCGACTTTTTTTTTAACATAAAACTTCTTCCTATAAAAAAATGAGTGAAAGTGTACCAACGCGAGAAGATCTCCATAATCCTATTGATTGCAAAGAACAATTTTGGCGTTTGTGCAAACAATTCTGTCGAATGTGCAAACAATGCGAATGCTGGTTTTTGTGTTTAATGATTGGGATAATATTATTAATTAATTACAGTATACAAATAATTATCTTACATAGTTCCCAGTTACGAACTTACCGACAAACGTATTAAGAATTCCTTATGAGTATAGATTAAGATGTAATAGTTTTTGGATATATAACTACGTTATTGAAGGCTATCCAACTGAATTTAATGATAACTAATCCTATTAGTTCACTAAAGCTGACGATTCTAATCAACTAAAATATACAGAAATCATCTTAAATCCTATTTTGAAATACAATGTTATAGAATTTAGACATCATCCAAACGGCACTGAATTTCCCGTTTTAACCGGGACTTCTAGGGTCGTCAATTATTTTACAAATGAAATAGAACTTGTATTTACTGCGCCTGATGATAATGATTTAAATTTAGAATCCTGTAAATATCGAATTTCTTGGACTTGGTGGCTTAACGGTTATATTCAGAGACTATATGAAAACGCAAACGAAACAGTTTTCAAAAAAATTTTCTTTTTTAAAGGAAATCCTGATTTGGGTTCGACTTTCTCATCTGTGGGTGAGAAGATAAATTAGGTTATAGCTAATGCTTCGATCCGCAATCCGATTAATTCGGATTAAATGCGGATATCGTTATCCGTCAAATTAAATGGATAGATCCGTAATATATTTCGAGGATTATTCTGATCATAATCCTTACTAGATTAACACATGATATACCTGAATGATTCTGATTGGTCGATGAGAAAATGGCACTAAGAATGCGCGGCAAATCCTCGATTTGATTGGCTAACGGCTGAGGATCTTCAAAACTCTGGCCCGCATTACATAATTCTTTACTAACTTCCGGCCGGAATTAACTTTTTAATTTTTTCATTACAAAAATAGAAATTTTCTAAAAACAAGCCCACATTATATTAACCCAGGAATAATTTTCTCTTAATGGCTGCTAAAATCATGACCTGTCGCTCTTAGCCAATCAAAATCGAGGATCTGCCGCGCGGCAATATGAACGACCATATAGCTTTTTTGTGATACGACCACCCTACCGGTAATCTAAATTTTTTAAATAATGTTTTTTTTTAATAAAAAAATAATAATAAGATAAAAAACAAAAAATTTAACTTATATATTATGATTTTGAACGCGTCTGTCTGTGGCGTAGTTCTTTTATACAGTATTTGTTCTGCATCATGTTCGAGAGGAGTATAATTTATGCATCAGATTGAAATGCATATCATGAATATAATAACGAAGACAAAACAGACAAGACAATAAAACATTATAGTGTTTGCATTCTTTACAATAATATATGCTATTTCGTTTAGTTCTCAAAAAAAATTGTATTATACTGCATCAGCGCATGTTTCTATTTTCATCGTTAAGTTAAAAATTAATATAAAGATTATTTTAAGTATCATATTGAATAATTAATATTGCACATGTGAATTATGTGAATTAGATATATTATCCGTTATTAAAAAGAATAATATACGTGATGGACATATGGCAAAAAAAAAGATTCTTTATGAAATTTAAAGAGCTGTTAGGCCATATAAAGTTAATTAATTATTTCTCATAACCCGGCCGGTCAGCTTTTATAAATTTTCGATACAAAATATTATGTTATTTATTATAAATACTTCCGGGTGGGTTTTTAATAAAATTTTCATAAAAATTGGCCAAATGATTTTTCAGCCAATTCGATTAAGTTTGTAATTTCAGCATAATCTGAATAATAAAAACTATTTCTGTATCATATTTGTTTTACAGGTCGTAGTAACAATAATGCAGCATTATTAAATTTCGTTCGAATGCTTATCCAACATGTTTAGTGTGTCAATAATTCTTAACAAGAAATAAAAAAAGGTACTATATATTAATTAGAATTTTATAATAAATATTGCACGAATTTGAGTACATGTTAAAATAAGATCCTGTCTATAAATAAAATATTACTTTTATTTTGTATATACAAGTTGGTTCGTAGTCCTTCAAATTGTCATAAGACTAATTTTATGTCTAACCAGAGTTTCATCTCGGATTGTAATTCATAGAACATCAATCAGTTTTTTCATAAAGTCTTAAAATATCTTGCATCGTTCATGCTCAGTGAACGTGGTTCTTCTGGAAGTGAATTCGACTTATAAAAGATATGCTAACACCTAAGTGTTTGGCCTTTTAAACTTTTTTTTCAATTATTTTCTAGCGAAGGTGCTTTGAAAGTATCATATTTCTGATCTTAAATTACGTATATATATATATCAATTTTATCATATGGGCGAAAATTTTTAATGTAATGTGATTATTAACAATATCACTTGATGTTCAATTATTGGTTCCTTTTTTGAACTTCAGTTCGTGTCTTTAACTTGAAAGTGCCTTAAAATAATAATTCAAATTTGATCCAGTGATCAAATTCTTTATTGAGTTTATTGAGAGAGATGCTTGAGAAAGTTCTTAATGGTCAAAGTGGTAACAAATAATTATAGTAAAAAGGTTTTTGTGCTTTAATAACATTTATCCAACAGAATTATTTCAGGTATTTTATAACAAGATAAAGCAAGCAGGGAGCTTTGAGAATTAATTAAGAATAATTCATGGTAGGAAAAGAACTACCTTTATTTAATATGCTAAAAGAATGTGAAGATTTCTTGAATGATTATATTAGAACAGTAAACATATATAAATATTCTATAATAATGTTGTTAACTGGAATCCATTGGAAGAAAATTAATAGTACTACTAGAACTTTTACTATTACAAATTTCCACTGGAAGGCTAAGAATTTCTACAGGAAGCAAAATTAATAACACTGCTCTATAATATAAAGCACAACATGAGAGCACAGAAATTTTAATAAAGAAAATGCCAATAAATTTTCATGAAAAAATAAAGTTCTTTTTTGTCAGTCATAAATACGGAACTATAAAGATACAGTTTATATCACGAACCTTTCGATCAAATATTGTTAGTTATTATTAAATTTTAAATGATACATGTTAATCACAGCAGTTAGATGAAACGTATTATTGTATGGGACAACTGAAAAAAATAATTACTAATGACCGAATCAAATGGGACTACAGAATACCAGTATGGTATGAGTAACCTGATCGGTGGGTGTGCGATAAAATATATTATATAACTAGTTATATAGTATGATACGATTTATAACTTAAAAAAACCGTATAATAAATTAAAGAGAATTGCTATTTCCACCCCCCATTTTTGCTAATACCACCTCCCAGATATCAAAAAGTGCTTCAAATAAATATTTTTATAATAATCCCCTGTCGCACTAAGTGTCACTCATGACTACCTTCATTATTTTTTACCCGTGATTAACCATATTTATAATAATCATATTGTGACCGGGAATCTTCTCACGGAAGATTCCCGGTCTCATATTGATCATCGGGAAACTCTAATTTTTACCGTTTAATTTTTATTTGAATCATTTTCTTTTTTGTATTTTTCACGTTTTATCTAAAGAACTTTAAAAGCCAAAGTAAATA